CTCGCGTCCAGTCCGACACAGTGCGAGGGTTGCTAGCAGCAGCTGCGCCGGCTCTCCAACAAAACGGGGTAAAAACCGGCTTCGTCGGAGCATACGGAGCGGTTGCCATAGCAACGCTCTCACTTGGTCGGACTCGACGAAAGTGCGTGAATGTTAAGGCCCGTTCACACTCTTGTGACTTCTTAAAACTGGGTTCTTTAAAACCTCTTACAACGAGAGTAAAGCCCCTTGATAAAGGTGTTTTTACAAGTACCGCCAACCATTGTTGTGGAAATGCGCAAGACACGTGCCACGAGCGGGTGCTCCGCCGCCATTCGCTTCCAAGGGCCGCTCATTTCAGTGCTGCGCCGCCATTTGCTTCCAAGGGCCGCTCGAGACCTGGGTCACGTGCGCTCGCGCATTTGGCGCTACCTTCAAAGACAAACGAAAACATATCGAGGGGCTTTAAACGAGAGGACACACTGGCGCCATCTATTGGGTAGCAGTGTAAACTTGGCGGTCCGGCATATTTTCTGTTGCTCTCGCGCATTTTTCATTCTTTCTTGCTCGAAAAACTTTTGTCAACGTTATAAACGAGCCTTTCTTATAGGTATTACGCACATTTGACGTCGGAAATCCCGCAAAACCTTCGCCCTTGTGAAACGCAGTTCCAGGGTCACCGCATAGATGGCGCCAAAGTGGCAGTGTGTTCTCTCGTCCTAAGAAATTTTAAGAGGTTTTAACAAGTCTCGGTCTCTCTCGGTCGTACTTGGTTGCAAGAGTGTGAACGGGCCTTTAAGCGCCGTTCACACACGTGCAACCGAGCACGACCGAGAGAGACAAGACCGGTTTTAAGACTCTTCCGACGTCTTAGGACCGGATGCAATGCTGCGGAGCTGGTCCTGAGGCTTCATAAGAGGCTTAAAAACCGGTCCTGTCTCTCTCCGTCCTACTCGGTTGCAAGTGTGTGATTATAACGCAATTAAATGCAAAGGTGCAAGCGAGCTGGACAAGAATGACGACAATGAACTGTCTGCAAACGAGCTCGCTACCGCCCCCTATTGGCAGACCCCTGCCCGCTTCCAGTTTCCCTCGTCTTTTTCATTTGTCTCGCATACTTCTGTTGTTTGTACTACTTTCCACAATTCGCGCAGGTACTTCTCCGAAGAAAAGTCTTACCCGAACGCTGTGCATTGCTGAAGAACAAAGAAATACACTACCGGAAGTGTACTGGGGCACCAAATACTGTGGCGTCCTCGTGGTATCAACTCCCGCCGGATTCGGCGAATACTCAAGAAAAAAAAAACATGGTTGTGGGGTATTTATACAGCGTGTAGTTGGTCAGCCATTAAAGTTGCGACGAGTCACACGCTGTAGGTGAGCAATTTAGCCAGTGCAGTACAACCGCTAGCCAGGGGGTCTTTAACGTGCACCACGCAGCAGTGATACACGATCGCACACCGGTACGATGCTCATCCAGATCGAAACGGGCAGGGGTGGGGCTCGAACCCAGGATCCCTGGGTTCTGCAGCGCTAGCTTTCGCTACACGCGCGTCGAGCTGGGTGTGCCCTTTAGCCCACTCAGCCACCGATCCCCCGGCGAATACTCCGACGCCGAGCGTCTAGCGCAGCTCACACAGATACTGATTGGTCGCAGATATCGAGTTCCTGCTCGCCGGCCAAGGAAACGCGCGTTTTCTGCGCTACACGCTGCGTTTGCTGCACTCAACGCCGAAGTATGTGCACAGACACAGTGTTTACAAACAAGCCCGCTTTACCCTCACCAGGTGTGGGCACTGCGCATGCGCAGAGCCGAAAGCAGCGCCACCGCAGTGTCCTGACGTCACGTCAGTGAGTTGAGTTGGTTTGTAGCAGAACCTTTACACGCGGATGTTCACCGTTCGCTGGACGCGTTTTAGAAAAACTGGTTGTGACGGCTCGCGTCTTTGGCCCCAGAAAGTGGAGCCGTTTTTCTTTTCCACGTTGGCATATCCTCCACCCTTGTTTCTTTTCGTATTGAATCTGGGTTGGCGAATACATATATGGACTCGAACTTCGTGCCCCCGATCCCTCTCTTGGTTGAATTCAACTCTGATCGTAAATAATTTAAATGGCACAACAAAATGCTCGTGTTCTTTTTTCTGTCTTGTTTTTTATAATCGAAGAACTTGATTGTTGCTTGGATGTCGCGAGCTAAAAAAAACACTGGTTGGTATAGCAGTAAAGTTTTCCTCCTCAGGATGTTTACTGCACTAATGTGAAGCCGCTGTCACACAGTTAACACATAAAAAACTTGTTGGTATAGCAGAAAAGTTTGCCTCCTCAGGATGTTTACTGCAGTAATATGAAGCCGCTGTCACACAGTTACCACACAAAAAAACTTGTTGGTATAGCAGAAAAGTTTGCCTCCTCAGGATGTTTACTGCAGTAATGTGAAGCCGCTGTCACACAGTAAGCACATAAAGAAGTGGTTGGTATAGCAGAAAGGTTTGCCTCCTCAGGATGTTTACTGCAATAATGTGACGCCGCTGTCACACAGTTAACACATAAAAAATGGTTGGTATAGCAGAAAGGTTTGCCTCCTCAGGACGTTTACTGCAGTAATGTGAAGCCACTGTCACACAATTAACTCATAAAAGAACTTGTTGGTATAGCAGAAAAGTGTGCCTCCTCAGGATGTTTACTGCAGTAATGTGAAGCCGCTGTCACACAGTTAACACATAAAAAAAATTGTTGGTATAGCAGAAAAGTTTGCCTTCTCAGGATGTTTACTGCAGTAATGTGGAGCCGCTGTCACACAGTTAACACGTCATACAAAAGACAATATGCAGGCACCGGCTGAGGCGTCATGATTCCTTGTATGCAGACTTGTACCCGTTACTAAAAAAAGTAACCGATTACAATTACAATTACTTCACTGTAAAAAGTAACCGATTACAATTACAATTGCAGCCTCAAAAAGTAATCGAAAATCACTCTAAACTGTTCGATTACTCCCACGTTACCTTTTATTCAACTTTTTTTTTATTACAGTATTATAATCATTGGGGTTTCGCGCTTAGTCTTCCAAAAAAGGAAAAAGAAAGCCTTGACCGTTTTTGCTTAGAGCTGAATGAGTGACGCCGACCCAATCCCTCTCGTGAAAAAAAAAATTAAATAAAAACCGCGTTGTTTAAATACATTACTCGCAAGAGGCTGAATAAGGTCATTTTTCATGCCCAAACGTAGTTTCCAGTGTACAAAAAAATGTACACAGGAAACGAAGCATAGTGATGTGGCGTAGTAATCCTCCAAATACTGTACTTAAGGGTTTCGAAAAAAAAAAAATTGCCGTTGCCCAGAGCTAAGTGGCTCCAGCAAACCTCAACACCCCCCCCCCCAGTCGACTTTCCGAGGGAGGGCCTGGACCTGGTAGTATGGGGATGGGCGCGTCCTGGTCCGGATGGTGACGACCGACGACGTACGGTGCTCGCCCGATGACAGCCCCCGGGAAGTTGATGATAAAAAAAGAACTAAAAGTGGTTCGATCCCGCTGAACACATTGCGATGTTGGTTGCTTTACAGTGGCCAGTGTGGCCACGTTTATTATGAAACAAAACACCTCAACAGTGAATTAAAATCCCAAAATTAAACCCCGTACTTTTGTTCCCAGTCTCCCAAAATCGAATCGAAGCCAATTCTCCAGAATCCCTCTCGGGGATCCTTTTGTAGCCTCGTAGAGGCCTCCTTTCCCCTCAGGGACCGACCAATCCCTTCAAATTTCACCACTCCCACGTGGTACACTGTTCTCCAATGGTCGGCGAGCTGTCAGCCTGGCACTTTCAACCGCCAAATCCAAATTCTTTCTAGAATCAACCCCTGTATTTTAAGCAGACAGGCAAAATCGAATCGAAGCCAATTCTTCAGAATCCCTCTCAGGGATCCTTTTGTAGCCTCGTAGGGGCCTCCTTTCCCCTCAGGGTCCAACCAATCCCTTCAAATTTCACCACTCCCACGTGGTACACTGTTCTCCAATGGTCGGCGAGCTGTCAGCCTGGCACTTTCAACCGCCAAATCCAAATTCTTTCTAGAATCAACCCCTGCATTTTAAGCAGACGGGCTGGCGCCAACAGCTAAATTATTACATCGGGTAAAAAGCGACAATTTGATACTAAGCGGCAAAACCCTCTATGTACAGGCACATTCGGCTAAAAGCTACAAGCCTCTCCAAGCGCGGGCTGTCCCGCTCCCGGTCCGAGCAGGCTGCCGAAACCCGAGACGCTTCTTAACGACCGCGGGGGGAACCGCTCCCGCATCGCAGCCGCTCTGGCCCTGCCGACACAAACATAGAAAGCTAAAAAAAAACAATGCCGACGCAACTCTGGAAAGACAAACTTTCCTGACAAAAATCACCTTAACTAATAAGCAGGATTTCTACAAACCTAACACCCCCACCCCCCGCAAAAGAAAAAAGAGAAAAATTGTAATGGATAATTTGTAATCAATTACAGTAAAAAAGTAATTCAATTACAAGGATCTTTACTTCTTAAAGCAAGTAATTGAAGCGTTAAAATATTACAGTAAGATGTAATCGATTACAAGTAATCCATTACTTGTAACGCGTTACGTTAAAGTCTACAGTTGTATGGCGCTAATACTTTGTTCGTGCACTTCTTTCACTCGTCCCTTGTCAGATCTTTTTGCGCTGTTTTCACGTTTGAAGGTAATGCTTAATTGGTCACGCAAAAACTGTCTGCACACATGTTAGAAGCACGTATGATGCGAAGATGCTTGAGTCATCCCAGCAGATAATTATGTCATCATGTCTACAACGAACATTGTGTCCATTGCATGATGTGTCAGCAGTGTGACACATGGATTAAGGCCCCTACATTCCTAACACGTAATACGTTCTGCTTTGATGTCCTACGCCAGTTTTACGGGCGATAAGAAACATCTAGACTCGAGAAGACTAGAAGAAAAGAAAAACTCCATTAGGCGTCAACAACTCGTGATGCGAGCGATATTTTCCCTAAAGATTCACTCGCACACGCAGAAAAGTTATCTATAACCAACCGAGGCGTCACGCGCATATCTTATGCATATCTTATCTAGGCGAATTGTATGTAAACTTGGCTGCGTATACCTGTCTCGTTTTCTCTTCGTACGAGTGTCGGAGCTCTGTCCAACACTCGTGACGTAACGGTTTTTCCGTTTAATCGCCGTTCTTTCTCTTTTATGTTTCCAAGAACCCTTTCTATCACGACGTCATAGTGTCTGCCCTCTCTCCGGTTGCATCTTTCCGTGCCCGGACTTCCATAGCCAAGAAAGGATCCTTCACCCGCGATCGCGGCCTTATCTCAGGTATATAAAGGCAAACGGACCTGCACTGTGTGTCGCCACCTTTCGATAGCCGGGCAACTAGAGCTCCGCGAGGCGCGTGTAATCAAGGCGCCTTGGGTCCCAGCAGGTTATCAGGCGTCTTGGAGTCCCTGCTGGAGAAGGAGATATATACCATCGAGTTGACCGACGCTCGTGCCCACAAGCGTGAAGGCTTCTCGACGATAGGGCAGCGAAGGACGACGACCCACGCGTGGAGAGACGTGCAGCCTGCGAAACCGATTTCTGGACGGCACTCGCGGATCTCTGGAGTTGAGCTTTATTATCTGTATCTCCCCTGGTCTGGATGGCGGAAGTATCCAGGAGCCGGAGCATGGCTGGACTCTCCAGTTTCCTGCTGGTGGCTGCAGGAGCATTGATGACCGCAAGGTAACTCCCCGTGCTTGAACCCTATTAACTCTCGAGTTTTGCTGGGTGTGGACCATTCCACGGTTGCCGACATCTTAATAGTAATAATAATAATAAATCTTTATTTTGTTTCATCACTGAAATGGGAGATTAGGACAAAAAATGCTGCAGCAGCTTGACGGAGGTCCTGGTCCCCTTTACAGCAGGCGATTTGCAAACAATTTCAGAAAACAAACTAAATAGGTACATTGAGATAAAGGACACTATTTAAAATGTACCGACCACAGATCGCACAATATAAGGGAAAAGGGAAAATTAATAAATTCATAGCAGTACGCAATGGTACAGTGATTTGTATGCCTTAGCCGTACTTGAGAGAACAACCCTAAAATAATGATCGTACTTTGCCAGTGTCATTGTATGAATATCAACACCTCTTTTTAAATTAATTTAATAAAGTACTTCAATGGTAATTTAGTGTGTGATTATAATATAATGTATGTGAAAAAACAGACAAACCATTTCTTTTAGGGCGGAGTGGACATGAGGAAGTGAAAAGGGCAAGGTTACAAAATTCTTCAAAAACTTTATTTTTAAACTGCGTAGACCTCCTGCACACCACAATAAGTCGGGACCTGCAATTATTTGAAATTTGTTTTATATTAAACAATGAGAACACGTGTTCAGTATAATAAAAGTATAAAACATTGGAAATAAATAGCACGCACAGCTTTCTTTCTGAAATATGTAGTTCACTTGTATTTATTTTTTTAATGTATTTCCACAATATAGATGACAATTATTTAGTTCCGTATATACCAACGCATTATAAAGTTGAGGCTTAACACAACGCGGTAACAATGATTTAAATGTGGTCAGGAACCCAACTGTTTTTGACAGTTTAGACGAAAGGTAACCAACATGCGTATTCCAAGAAATAATTTGTAAACCAAACGCTCAAAGTCTTAATAGTGTCGACAAATTCAATTTCTTCGCTGTTTAAAACCATGGAGTTTATGATCATAACTGTAGGGTGTGGACTTTTAAATAAAACGGCTTTAGCCTTGCGTGCCCAGGCAGTATATCCGCAGGTGACAACTATAGATTCGCACTAAATCTTGGATTCTCAGGTGTCATCCAGCGGGATGGCGCAAAGACAGGAGAGCGATTAAATATTACGAATCAACAACAACCTGTCCCTATTTTGATGACGAGAAAACAGGAAAAATGCGAGCTTCATGCCGCGGGCTCACGCTTGACAGAGTGCTTTGCGGCGATTTTATTTCCATTTCTGGTTTGGTTCTAAGGGCCACATGCGAAGATCTTAAGAACCGACTCGGCCCGTTTTTTTCTACTGGGCAGCCGAGCGTTTGGACAGGCCGCAGCAGAGCGCGCGAAAGCGAAATATAGGAGGCCGCGGCCCTTCATTTGTAGCTCGCAGGCAACCCTCCAGGCGGCGCTCTTTACCCAAAAAAAAGGTCCATTGACTGCGACGAGAGCATCCGCCACCACCGCACCACACTCCGACAGTTACAAAAGGACGGAGAGATGAGACTCACCTTCTTACCGAAAGATCTAAATCAAGGTTCAAACTATTTATACAAGGTAAATACGAAAATAAAACGAGCACCTTGCAATTCCTACCAATGCAGCGCTGAATTCTTGACACGTGACCTTTGGGTTGGGCGTATGGAAAGACACGCTGAGCGCGAAGTGCGAGAACGAAGCAAAACTGTCAACTCAAGAATTTATTATCATATGTCCCCAGAACGGCAGACCAACAGCATTCTGAAACGCAAAGACAACTCCGTTTCGCTACATCGTGAACTTCCGCAAACTCTCCTCGCGGTCGAAACGATATCATAACTAAGGGCCTTGCACTTACGGCATGTCGCTGTAACTCATTTTACACAAATATAGACTAACAGAAAGGGAAGCTGCTGTATGATTGTGCAAAATCAAATTACCGTTGCTCGTTAGCGCTTGATGAAACGGTAATAGAAATTACGTATAGAATAATAATATAATTAATCAAATAATAACATAAATATTGGTATAATACAATCATAAATTGATGAAGCGGTAGTAAAAATACCTATAAGTCATGAATAGTCATCTCGCCCAAGCTGAGGTAGTAGAAAATTTTTGATGACGCAGGTTATCCTATGCAGACGCAATCCTATACGGTTCCCGGTTGGGTCTTGGGACTACAGCCAAAGCGTTCAACTTTTCCTTTTTATCTCGAATCATCTGAGTGGTCCTAATTTTTGAGAATTTCGCGAATTGAAAAATTTTAGAAATGTAAGGCCACGCGAAAATTTCGGTCTGAAGGAGTTTCAGTGCAGGCGTCTGGAATTTTGCGAAATTTTGTGGCCGCGATTATATCCTCTGTGACCGATTCGCGAAAAATAGGGGCCGCGAAAATAAAGGGTTTTACAGTACCCGGAAGTTACATTGCCATGAAAGCGTTGGAAACGACACCGTCGCAGGTTTATTTCATCACGGACACCTGTTCCGACTTTCTATTTGGTGATAGATAGAGGCGCTTGCAAATGTGGCGATAATCTGATAAGGCTTCTTTGTAGAAGTCCAAAACAAGCCCCCAATCAAAAGTGGCTGGAAGGAAGCCTCAGGATAGGGTGTAGCACGATTTCCCCGCGTGCAGAATCCCTGTCGCAAAAGCCCCGTCTCATTGGCCCCACTTTTAAAAATCCCCGCGTTCAATTACCCATATCGAGTTCTCCGTATCCCGAAAGCCGCCTCCTCAATGTCCTCGTCCCACCCTCTTCGCGCTTCAACCAGCATTGTTCCATGTCAAACTAATCTGTCGAAGGTCTGCAAAATGTATTTTAAGTGGAAGGAACAACAAAATAAGGTTAAGTTGAATTGTCGAAAAACGCAAAAAGACGTACTAGTGGTTTGCGGTATACAGTCTACGAAAATCGCCTCCTGGAATATCTGAGTTTCTTAGCGAAAGGTTTGTTTCCACTCTAAGCGCTCTTATGGCGCTTATTTTTGGACTCCTACATTGCATTTTCTAAGATATATCAGACTTTCCTTTCATGTATAGATGAAGACGTGAAGAGGTTCATTCCTTATATTGGCTAGTATCACCAGCGGCGTGAAAATTGTGTTTTAAAACATGTAGCTGTGCTATCGTATACTGAGGCGCAGTATTATAGACATCATCTACCTAGATGGATACAAATATTGTTCTAGAACGACGTAAGAAGAATAGAAATAGTGTTTGGTGCAGTGACAAATATGGCGCCATGAGATGCGGATTAACACTTTTGACAGAACCCACTTCGTCGGAACTGTGAATCCGCGTGTGCTTCAGAGTCAACGAAAGCTTTGGCTCAATGCTTACTTCTAAAAGCTGTAACTTCAAATGTTTTGCCAGCGACTGATATTTTCTGCTTATTTTCACTTCTAACGTCGCAAGACGGGAATATGTTTAGCGCACGCCTAAAGAATGGGAAGCTAAATTTCTCATCTACAGCGAGTGACTCGTCGCAACTTTGAAATGGCTTACCAACTACTCTGTCTAAATATCCACACAATCCCAATTATTGAAGCTTTGTCGAGCTATTCACAACTTGAGTGCCGGCGTACGGCAGGATTACGTTACACAAGCCCGCGTGCACACTTCACTGTCTTTAAGTTAAAAGCAGAATGCTCCGTCGTCACGTTGAACTTAGACCCGGCCACCTGACACGGGGGATTCGCGTCATGGACTCCTGAAACACGGGGCTTATGAAAGCGGGACAAAAAGGATGGTGCGTTCGCCGCGGGGCAATGGACCTTTTCCACATACCGACGGCACCAGGCGGTGGCTGCACGAACTAAAAATCGAGGAAGAGACCTACCTGCGCTACCAATCGATACCGGGAGCTACGCTACCAGTTTCTTCGCTCTCCGAGCTGCGTCGCGTGCCCAACGCGAGCTTAAGATGGGCATCCGTGGCGTCCGCCAAATCGTTGTGTTTTTCCTTCCGTCCACTTTCTTTTTTTGTGTAACTCAATTATATATATGCTGCAATTACCTGTTATACTCGCTTATCCACAGGCTCATTCCGAATTTCCTCGATTTTTCGTTCCGACTTCCGCCGCTTGACATCGGGCGCTCGCGCGTGCGCAGAACGCTTCTCGGAAAAGGTCCATTGACTCGGGGCTTTTGGCATCGGGTGCTTTCGTGCACCACCCCTCTGGATTATATCACAGTGCGACGAAAAACTGAGGGAAAGGAGAAGACAAGAGCGAGCGAGGGCGTCAGAACACCGAACTTTGGTTAGAATGATTAGTGGCGGTGGACGTAGAGCTATGTCTCTACTCACACTTCGAACGCGTTCGATTGCCAAACGCCGGCGCCTAGCGTTCCGCGCTCGAGTTCGAACGCGTTCGAGTATTGATGTAGAGGCAAAAGGCAGCTAGCTTTACGCACTAATCATTCCAGTCAGAGCGCGAAGCTTTGCGTTGCTGGCTGGTGCGCTCACTTTGAGCACTCGCTATCCGCAGTGTATATACGGTCTACGAAAATCCCTTCCTGGAGAATCTGAGTTTCTTAGCGAAACGTTGGTTTCCACTCTGAGCGTTCTTATGGCGCTTATTTTTGAACTCCTACATTGCATTTTTTAAGATATATCAGACTTTCCTTTCATGTATAGATGAAGACGTACAGAGGTTCATCCCTTATATTGGCTTGTATAACCAGCGGCGTAAAAATTGCGTCGTAAGACATGTAGCTGGGTTGTGAACAAAAAGTCACGGTCTATGCAACTAGATTCGGAATGAAGTTAAGGATGCGCGAAATAAACACCACCAGGTACCAGAAATGGCATCGACTCGCTCCGTGGACGAATCAGCAGAGGCAGAAGCCATGACGAGACCTCTGACGTTAGAGCGACGTGCGCCTCGGGAACGGACTATTTCCGCATCGCGGAAGATCTGTGAATGGCGGTAATGAGGCTATGGGAGAAGCTTCTGCTGCATTCTTCACTTTTATCTGACTACGCTCCTTTTCTTTGCTCATTGGTGATTAATTATCAGCCAGGCGAAAAAAAAAAACTGACTCACTGGGCTGTGGGCGCATGCGCGGAGGCGATATCCTTAGTCAGCGTGGCTCTACAGTAACCGAAAGAATGAGAACGGCAGGGCGTCTCTTTCCGATGCCCGCCCTCCAGCACGCTCTCATTGCCTTCCACCGTGCTTCGGCTGTGCGTGCACGCTGGAGGCTCACAAGGCACCGAAGCGTTCTTGAAGTTAGGAAGCTCCCGCCGGAGGTCGGACAGCGGAAGGACCTCCCTGCCGTTCCCACCCTGTCTGTGACTATTGCGCACGCGCCAGATTACAACCGCCATTGCTTACCTTCTCTTGTCTTACCGAGATGCCGAGCAACTAAAGCAGGTGTCGACGAGCCTTCAGAAAGGCCAATGCTGGGAGAAGGACACCGTCGAATCTATAGAATGGCAATAACCTGTCCCGCTGTAGTAATGATGAAGTAAACGAAATAAGAGGAAGCAAAAACGGAAAGTTGGTTATGGCGGCGCCCATGTGCAGCTCCTGCGAAACGTCTCTATAGTGATGGTATTTTATTCCGTCCCCGATGCAGCGCCCAAGAAGGGCAGGACTGCAGTTGCCTGGTGCTTGTCGAGGACGCAGCCGGACAAGCGACGTTGTACGAGAAAAGCACCACCGTCCTGGGAAGCCTCTGCACCGACGCAGATTACGACTTCTGCGCAGATCTGTGCAAAAATGAGGTAAACACGTCTATACTTGTTGTCCCATCAAGAAAAAAAAAAAAAAACACCCATATATATGGCTGATTGCATCTCAACTCAAGCACAAATTTTGGGTCCAATTTTTAACTTAAAAAATACATGTTATCGGGCAATTTCTATAATAAAAGAAGATGCAAACGGCAAGTTTGTCGGATTTTTTTGTTCTCAAGTTATGGGTTGTTGAAGCGGCCAAGGTGGAAACTCGTCTTTCCAGCTTATCGGGGGTGCCATATTTCACTCCATTCCTTTTCCCTACTTTTTACACTACATCAATATAAATTTTTGTGAACACTCTCGACATATGCTTTTTTTATGCTAATTAAGCGTCTAGGTCATAGCATTCTTAATGTATTTTTTTATTTGCCAAACCGCCTCTCTGCGACGATATTTGACGAAGGTCAGCAAGCTGTGCTGCGTGACCTAATGAACATATATTTATGATCTTTTCATCACCGTAAAGCTTCAATAGAGAATTTGCTATATTACCCAAGCATCAACGAGAATGCAGGGCTTGGTTTTCCACGGGCCCCACGCGCACGTCTTCCCCGTATAAATGATTTGAAGTAAATACCCGAAATAAAGCGTTGACGAACGCGCGTGCCAGATGCCGTTTGTTTTAGGTTTTCGCTTTAGAGAAGTTATTACTGCTGAGGCCAGCACGTGCGGCGCGTGGAACACCAATCCCTGCATTCTCCTTGGTGCTTGGGTAATATAGCAATAGGTCTATTAAGATCCTTCTTTTGAGTATAATTTCAATATTGTGCAATATATGTATAATGCGCTACATGTGCCTGAAAAACGAATATTTCGAAAAACTAGCAAGTTTGGAGTCGAGTTTCTAAAAAAACAAAACACCTTTTATTTATTTTATTTTTTATTCAGGGTTATGTAATACAATAATCTGTCAGGAACAACCAACAGAAATTGGATTATATTGTTTGCATGGCCGCTGTTAGGACTCGAATCTCGTGCTATGAGAGTTTTGAACGGGACTTCGCATAGACGTTCAGCTGAGCAGAATTTTTACCCATGTAAGGTTTTTTATTTAATGGTAGTACTTGCCTCAATATCTGAGCGTAAAAGCCAGTGAAGCAACAATATTTATCCTAACAATATTTACTTACTTGGCGCTGGCGCGATTTGCAAGAGTGTGAGCTTGGTGCTATGTGTTGACGGAGAAGATACGTTCACCATCTAGACTCCTGGACAAACTTAAGTCAAGAGGAAAACGTCTAAGTAACCCGCCATGAATCACTGAAGGTAGAAATGAAACCTAAGCACATGACTAACAGATTTGAAGCCTTACACGCTACGAAATGCTCATTATCTTACGAAAGAGTCCGTACGTGCACAAAATAAACCATACTTCCTCAGCATCAAATACAAAATCATACATATGTATATGCACTGCATATCTTTTTGACATAAGAAAATAGGACAATTACATATCAAGTTCGGTATTTCAAACTCAAAGCCGAAAGCAAAAGGCCCCAGAGGAATTCTCTAACGATCTGCATTCCCCCGTATTGGGAGGAAGTAAACGCTGTGCCCGCACTTGTGGATACGGACTTCTGAATATATTTTTTTTAGTACACTACTCTAAATTTTATTAATGCTTATGGTTGGATATTGAGGTAACTGCTAACGAAAAGTAGAAAACCTTACATAGGCCAAACTTCTGCTCAGCAGAGCGCCTGTGCGAAGCCCCGTTCGAAACGCTCATAGCACTAGATTCGAGTCTTAATAGCGGCCATACAAAAATATATTACAATTTCTGTTGGTAGTTCCTGATAGACCACTCCAACTGTGAATAAAAAATAAAAAAAATAAAAGGTGTTTTTTTATAGAAATCGACCCCAAACTTGTTAGTTTTTCAAAATATACATTTTTAAGGCACATGTAGTGCATTATATTCTTTTTGCACTATATTCAAGTTATACTCAAAGGAATTATATTAATTTGATCTTTACGGTGATGTAAAGGTCATAAAGATATGTTGATAAGGTCACACAGATCAGCTTGCTGAACTTCGTCAAATATCGTCGCAGAGAGGCGGTTTGGAAAATAAAAAAAAAATACATTAAGAATGTTGTGACCTAGAAGCTTAATTGGCATAAAAACGCATATGTCGAGAGTGTTCCCAAAAAGTTATATTGATGTAGCGTAAAAAGTAGGGAAAAGGGATGGAGTGAAATATGGCACCTCCAATAAGCTGGAAAAACGGCAGTTTCCACCTTGGCCCCTTGGCCGCTTCAGCGGTTCATAACTTGAGAACAAAACGTCCGACGAACTTGCCATTGGCGTCTTCTTTTATTATAGGAATTGCCCGATAACATTTTTTTTCCAAAAATATTAAATATTCGACCCAAATTATGTGGTTGAGTTGAGATGAAATCACCCATTTGTATTTGTATCACGGGATTTTTTCTTCTTTTATGGCTGGCTTTTAACCATTTTTTGTAACGCACTCCCGTGAAAGTGTGCAGGAGGCGAGAGGGAAAAAAACAAAGACATGCTTTAGAAGAAAAAAAAAAAAAAAAAAAGAGATGCGGACTAACGGTGTTAAGGCTGGAATGCGCGATCGCAAGAGACGTGAACTTTGCGTTCCATTCCCGCTAGAACGCTATAGCGGCGGCGGGGATTTCTTTCGGAGGTGCTACGCTCAAATGTTAACGCCGTCCGAGCAAAATAATAAAAATAAAATAAGAACAAAAAAATCACAACTTTTTTACGCACAACATCACCCTGAAAAAGAAGATAAGAGCAGGAGGAGAAAATGGGGAGGTTAATCAGGGCTGCCTGCCTCGATTCGCTACTCTTGAGTTGAAGAAGGGGATGAGGGGAATAATAATAATAATGACAAAAATAAACAAATGTGACACCCCTTTTGAAGTGACAGAGACCTAGTAAATAAAATGAAAGGGATGAAGGGAGGAGGAAACTAAAAGCTCAGGAAACGTCTGGCATAACTGAAGCAGAGGCTGGGAAAGGAAAGGAAAACAGGAAAATGCATTCTGCGTTCTCTTTGCCACGATAGTGCTGCGACAAAAGGACTTTGTTCACTGACGTCAATAGAAAAAACAAAAAACATCGACGTGCGTTCAAGACTCGGACAAATACATACATCTACGCTGCTAAAAAAAAAAAAAAAAAAAAAAAAAAGAGCGGAACTAAAACAAGCATGTACAGCGACCTACTTTTTTTTTTTTTTTTTTTTTTTAAGGCCAAATTATTTATGTGTTATGTCCAACCCGGTGTCGCGTCGATAGTAAACAACGTGCTCGCCTCCGCTTCATGCCTGGAATCTTGCGGAGCGTCGTTAGAAAAGGAAAAGAGGTTATGGCTTTAACGGACATATTCTTAATAAGGGCTAATAGTATCCGTTATAAGTTACGACGCGCCAATATGGCCTTCTATTCGAAGTGGATATTTTGAACAGAAAAATGTCTAATAGAACATTTAGCTTCGTGAAGTGCGCTTTCCCTCGAACCCCAGTGCAATGCAGCGAAGCAACACATCTAACGTATGGCGAAGGTCGCTTCCCCACTCCGCAGCCAAGCTGTAATTGGCAAGCATACCTTCCAGGAGGATGAAAGAAATATCCGCGCTTCCAATACCGAAGTAAGAAAAGAAAAGAAAAATCCAGGAACAACAACACATAATAATAATATAAATGGTAATAATAATAATTACAATAGTAATAATTCAGTTTTACTTATTACTTCTTGAATGAGATATCGCTGAGATATGGAATTTCGCCGTCTTATCCCAAATGCTACCTGTGGTGAACGTTACTGAAGCAAGCTCCAGTAATGGCTGTGGTGACGGCGGGAACGAGAGGCTGCACAGTATTGCGATGAAAACGATAGATGGCGCTACGCGCAGCAGGCGAGTTACCGCCGGTCACATGTGCGTAGGAATGGAGCGCTGCGCGGTATTTTCTATCATTATAAATACAAACGGCTATTTCTTTCTTTCTTTTTTTAGGTTTGGGGGGTAGGGGGAACGGTGTATATTGAAGTTCTGTTACTGAACAGGAAGGGGAAAACATATGCTCTTCACTTACTTTTAAAACACACAAGCTGCCCGCTACGCGTGTGTTGAAAGGTCACATAGCTGCTTTATCTTTTGACTCAGGTTTCCGGAATATTTCGAATACAACTGCTAGCTTTTTCCCTTGATATCAAAACGTGTGTGATTGTGTTCCTTTTTGTCTTTTTCTTTTTTTATCTAGATAAATCGCGCCCTTTTCACCCGTTAAATGGATTGTGTGCCTGAATTCCAGAACGAGCATTCCTCGATGAACATTTTCGAGACCGCTAAAAAGGCGCTGCAGCCAGCAGGCGAGTCAGCGGTCCCCAAAATTTTCATCCCACCTCGCGCACTTTTTTATCATTGCGCGCAAACGATGCTTGTCACACATCCCCTCCTAGCCACCATACGCTAACGCTTCGTTGATGGAGACTTTTAGTAGACCGTATTCCATAGCTACGCTTTGCTAGTGGAAGCTCGTGCCGTCACATAGAAATTATCATGGATTGAGCGCGCGTTCGCTCAGCCCGCTCTCCGCAGCATACGGTTTACTAAAACTATTTATGGTCTACTATAAAAGAATCCCAATTATACTTCGTTTGAGCTTAAGTCCAGACGCGTCCCATGCTACAAGCGCGAGCATGTGGCCCTGAACAAGGCTTGCACTGCAGGAGTGCGCGTGCTTGGCAGGGACGCTGAAAGCCCGGAGCTCGCACTTGTATCATCGGCTGCGTCTTTTTAGAAGACCATACGCTAGAGCTTCGCGTTGCTTGCTGGAACTCGCGTCACCTCTTTGAAGCCCGGATTAAGCACGCTCCTGCTGGTCCAGCAATCCACAGCGTAAGGCCGACGCAAACTCTCTCCTTGTATACAGTCCTGAAACACTGTTTGCATTCGTCGGGTAAACAGACTGTACTTTATGAGTCGCTGACAATGTTGAGTTCTCCCTTTTCACACGGGGCTGTTTTCGGTACACAGATGAAGCAGTTCAGCGACACGCTGGACTCCAAGGTGGTCCCGTTCAACACTACCGTGGGACAGACTCTCTGCGAAAGGGCCAAGCGGAAAGTGACCGACGGGACGCTCAAGTTGGGCGTCTCCGTCTGCCACCAGGACGTCCGAGAGGCTGGCGTCGAGAACAAACAGAAACTGTGCTGCGACGAAGAAGCCAGATACGTGGACTGCTGAACCGGCCATCACCATCCACCACGCGTTGGCCATCATCTCTTCATCGACCGCACGCGGCTTACAAGAATAGAGACGAGGACTCTCATTCCTAGTGTCTTAATTTGTTCGCGGAGATCGTTTCATATATACAGGGCGGAAAATGCCAAGTCATTGGGCTGTGGACGCTTGCGCGGCGTCTGATATGTCGCAGAAGAGAGCAACTGCGCATGCTCACAACGCGTTTTACAGTCAAAGACAAAGATGGCGGCGCATAGAAGGCGCTTACTAGAACAGTATAATAACCTATATAGTTACACGGGCGCCCTTAATCACAGTTAAGTGCAACGGAGGTCAACATACCTGAGTGTAACTACGATTAAGGGTGCGCAAAGGGTATACTAACACGCAGTTACGCCTAAGTATGCTGATCAGTAACTGTCAGCTATACCCTAGTTACTTGATCACACCTAAGCACAGTGAATTGTGTAACGGTGGTTAACATACTTAAGTGTAACTGCGGTTAATGGTGCCCGACAGGCCACCTAAATCGCAGTTACGCTTAAGTGTGCTTAGCAATTACTGTAAACTACACCCTAGTAACCCAGGAACCCTTAACCACAGTTAAGTGTAAGTGAGGTTAACATGCTCAAGTATGACTTCGGTTAAGGCAGCCCGACGGGCAACCTAAACCTCAGCTACGCTTAAGTCTTGTTACGTTCCACACCCCGGCGAGGTCGTGCTCCATCTATAGACGTTTACAGGGACGGTCCGCAACACCATCGCTCGGCAGAGATCCTCTCGAAGACCCGGAACCAAGGCTTTGGAACATCGACCTATAAGTAACAAACGTCAACGGCTCTTCGTCTTTCTTTTACACCAACATCTAGAGAAGCGGCTGCTGCGGCCAAATAAGCCTCCGGGCCAAAGACTGTGGCTGTTGGACCTCATCCTCATCGAAGCCAGCAGCCACCACCAATCACACCACGATCCCGCAGGCGACGCAACAACGTCACATCACCGCGGCTATGAAAGGGGAACCCGTGGCCACGCGCGGCGCAGACAGAATGGGACTTATCATTGGACCCTACCATCATCGAATCATGCCCCATTAAAACATCATCATCATGCATATAGACCAAACCCGGTCTCCAGCCTGTCCGTCTCCCAGCCCTTAACATACCCAAGTGTAACTGTGGTTAAGGGTGCCCGCGATAGGCAATTTAGCTAAACCTCAGTTACGCTTAAGTATGCTTATCCGTCGCTGTCACCTATATCATAGTTACCTGGGCATCCTTACCCTAGTGAAAAACCTTATATGTATAAAAAAATTTTGATCCCATAAACGCATATGATCAAAGATCATATGAGAGCATACAAGAACCTTATAAGAACACAAGAACAATATAAGAATATATAAGAAGTTATAAGAAACTTCTTATCAGTTTCTCATAACTTCTTATAATATTACAGTGTTCTTATATGGTTGACACGCAGGCTAATGTACTTTCTCTGTTTGAGAACTGTAACGGGGGGCTCAGGTTCACATTTGAAGAACCCAAGAAGGGGTTCTTCATTTCCTTGACCTTTCGTTCCACTTTGAAGAAAAACGTGTTTGTTGGTCGTTTAGTCCACGCACTAAAAAGGCCATTCTGGATTATAGGTCATGCCACTTTAAATTGGTACAGAAAAGTATAGCGGTCTCTTGTCTCGGGTCCGCTCTAAAAAAATTCCTGCGTCCACTTGATAAATAATTAAAAGCTTTAAGGGCCAGGTGGAAAGATTGAAACTGTCAGGATTTCCATCTGCCCTTTTGACCGAGGTGGCTGGCTCCCTTTTGAAAAAAGCTAGAGGGATGGAGAGGAAGACTGAATTCGACAAAAAAAAATAAAAAGAATGGTGGCCGTCGCCTATCTTCATCAGGTTTCCCATAACCTTAAACAAGTCGGAGGTCGGTATGATGTCCCGGTAATGTTCTCTGTCCCACACACACACACACAAAAAAAAAGGGGGGGGGGGGGGGTCAGATATGTGCAGAGGTCGGTGCTATTGCCAAAAAGCACGCAGTGCCGTTTGTGGCCTGTGTGTCTGGCGTGGTTTATAAGATCCCCTTGTCGTGTGGCAAGGTGTACGTTGGATAGACGGGCCGCTGCCTAAATGATACACTTGGGGAGCATTCGTATTCACTCAGGGCTACAGTCGGGGGTTGCTACCTTTACACTGCAGGGACTGCAAGTGCCGGCCTACTTTTAGTGAAGCCACTGTATTGAATAGACATAGAGACAGAGTGACAAGGGAAATTCTCGAGGCCTTTTTTATCTCAGAACTTGGCGGGAGATGCGTCAGCGAACCGTCAGTGGCGTTATCTGACAAAGAGTTTGGGTACCTGCGATCGACTATGCCGGGGATTACGTAGCCACTGATTTGGTTTATTGTGACATACTATGCTGCTTGGTTGGTGCGTTTGTGTGTCTATATATTGTTTTCTGATTAAGATGCATCTTGTTTTCTTCCTTCCCATTTTGTGTAATAAACAACAGTTGTCAGTTCAGCGCTGTCCTGTCGCGTTTGTTCCTTCACCCATGTCCAAGTTTCTTTGCCGCTGTTTCTTCCCAAGATGGTCACCTCAAACCAACTAGCCCAACACGTCACATTGTCTTATATGGTCTTTTAAGGTTCTTGTATGCTCTTCTGTGATTTTATTTGATCATTTGCCTTTATTGAACCAAACCATTTATTATACATATAAGATTTTTCACTATGGTAACCACAGTTAAGCGTAACTGAGGTTAACAAAATTAAGTGTAACTTCTGTCAAGGGTAACCTGATGGGCAGTCTAAATCGCAGCTACACTAGCATGCTCATAAGTTACAATCAATTATACCTTGGTTACCCGGGCACCGTAACAACTGTTAAATGTAACTGCGGTTAACATACTTAAGTCCAACTATAGTTAAAGGCGCCCAAAGGGCAGCCTAAACCGCAGTTACGCTTGAGTATGCTTAGCAATTACTATCAACTGACTCTACTAGTAATCCGGACACCTTTAACCGCAGTTGCGTTGGACTCAACGCAAGGCGGGGGGGGGGGGGGGGGGGGGGGGGTTAATGGGGTGTTGAGTGTGTGTGTAAACCTCGGCTTCTTTAAAAAAACACATAGCGAGGCCACAGAGTGTGGAAGTAGACTTCATCGCAGCCCAGTTTACCACAATAATATGGCGGACGCAAAAGGAAATCCCTGCAGCTCGAGCGCGTCCTTGGGGTGATGCCACTTGGCAACCATAACAGGATCTAAGACACGACCAATGAAATCGCCCTATCAGCAACCTCCACGTTTACAATGGGCAAGGACAGCACTTTACTTACCTTCACACACACCAACGAGACACACACCGTCCTGCATGTTTGCAATAGATAAGTATCGAGATTAACTAAGAACGGGTGGATGCACAAACACGAGACTGAATGTCACCAACAAACGACGACCTCGGAAGTTAATTTTAGCAGAGGGTTACCGAGCGCCGGAAGTTTGTATCTAAAGCGTTCGACCTTCTCGCGAGATATTCACAGACATCAAACGATGAAACTAGAAACACTGACGCGCAAACGTGTCCAACCAACACCACCTAGAACAATCAAAGCCTCAGAATGGGCTCCTCTACATCCACGTGACGTCATCACTCACGGACGGCGCCAACTCGGTAACTGCACCCCTGCAAAAATATTTATCCACTTTCTACAGCATTTCTATCGAAAGTAGCGTATATAGGCTATAGATATTTTAAAGAAAATGTATTCACTTTTCTGTCCACTGTCTATAACTTTTTGGCCGCCTTTTGTCTAGACTTTCTATAGAAATTAGTGCAAAGGCATTGGATAAAATTGTTTAAAAAACATATAGAGATTTTAACGGTGTTTCAATATCCTTTCTATTTTTGTGTCGTGTTTATGTTTATACAACTTTGAAGTTAATTCGCCTTCAATGAGCGACCTGTGTCACAGCTGTGGATGAGCACTTTAGCCAGTGCAGTACAACCGCTAGCCTGGTGTCTTTAACGTGCACCAGGCAGTAATGAGTCTAGTGACAGACGACCGCACGCCGGTAGGATGCCCATCTAGATCTAAACTGGCAAGGGTGGGGAGTGAACCCAGTATCCCCTGCCCAACAACAATAAATCAATCTTTCGCAAAAAAAGATAAAGTATATTAATTTTAGGTTTGTCCCGATACATCCATGCAAACAAGCACCCGATACTTGCCGATACATCACAAATACTCAAGCCACGGAGCACTTTTTTTTTATTATTGCCTCCACGGAGCGTTTATAACACTATAGTCGAAAGCTTTCAAACGCGCGGCCCGCAGGAAACCGGCTACAAGTCCCGGTTCCCATGTATCGAGCGCTAGAAATGGCATGCGCCATTCTGACCTCATCTCGTCGATTAGTTTTCGCTCGAAAAGTAGCTCTGCTCTTTTGACGTGTTCAAATAGTTTATACTTATCTGTGTTCATTTTCCCTTTGTTTCGATACATTTTTTGCTAGGCTGCAAGCGCGAGCTATTCGTAGAAGGATGCATCTCGGCTGCGAGACTCCCGATCAGCAAGAGCAACTGCCAAACATAAAGCTACGAGCTCGAGATTCTCGCCTTCAAAAAAATATCACCATTAAACAACGATTATTTCTTCGGACTGTTGCAATAAAAATCACCAGGAATGTGAAAACTGTCAAATTAACTTATTGTTGTTTTAAAAAGATGTTGAGCTGGGTTAATTCCTCGTTGGCGGGGCTGTGTCAGTTTAGCTCTTTTTCTCACATCAGGTCACGGACCAAAGTAGACAAATAAACAAATCAAATCTAAAGATGTCTTTACAAAAAAGCATAACGCACGAGGTCTTGACTCCTTATAATCTTTTAATGGCCGCAGCAATTGCGACGTTTGGTTGGCATAGCATTTTCTTCGCTAAATGAATGCGATTGGGTCACTGGCTTCACTTTGGTATAGCTGGAAGAGCAAAAGTGCTGACAAAGTTGATGGGATATGATGGGCGTTGGCCTATAGCTTCTTAGTTTGAGCCCTGCACCTCTAACCGTACCCGTGCGACGTGCTTGCAAACGGTTAGCCTAACATCCTTGGATGGACTGAGTGCCACAAATCAAGCACGCGATACGGTGGTATTTGTTCTTTAATGGCATCCGGACATTGTCCAATGCTACACTTTCCGGCTGAGTCCCATTAAATTCTGCATAACGATAAGGGATGTCGTGAACTTGCCGCGGTTGAGGTACGACTACTAAGTTCAACTTCCCTTTTTCCAACTTCCAACTCGAAGTCCGAAAACTGCTTCGGCAGAAGTTGGACTATTACACTCATGCGAGCAAATTAAAAACTAGCTGGATGCACCGTCTGGTGATGGAGGGGTGCAACATGTTAACAAGCTAACTACACTATTCAAAGCTTATATGTTTGTTTTCGTATTTTGTAAACGTTAATAAATATTGTAAAAAGGTTAAAACAGTCCATTTTAAAAAATACGTTTTGTGTTTGAAGTTGGGCAACACTGCTCAGGAAGTTCGAACATTGTCGAATTGCGCAACAAGTTCGAAGGTTCACCGAACTAGCCGAACCTCAAGTTCGACTACAGTTTGCGGCACATCTAATCCTGATGCAAAAGAGCACGAGTGTTTGTATGACCGCGTGCAGACGACAGTGCTCAAGTTGTCCGGGTGGCCGATAGATGGCAAGAGCGTCGCTTTGCGCCGGGTAGTGCGTCTAGACTGCAGAGTGGTACCCGCTGCTCAGTCGGGTCACGTGGTTTATAGCCCGTTACTCTCGGGCATGGGGTAGAAGCACGTTCGCAAAACGCGACCACGTAATAATGCTGGCCTCGTCGCTTGCAAGACGCAACATCCAGCTCACGACCTCAATGCCTTATCGAACCGTTAAGAATGCATTCCTTTGAGCTCTTTTTCTTCCTGTTGTTTTCTTTCGTAGCGTTCGTGAGCAATCAGACCTTGCTCGCCACGCGCG